GTTTATTATAATAAGAAATAAGAAAAAGAGTGTCTACTTTTCAATTTCAAAAAGTTTAGATCTCTCATTTTTTTTCCTTAATGTTTTTCTGTTGCTTCGGATTTGAGAAGGTGACATGTCCACAGGTCTGACATACACATTCAAATTCATTTTCTATCAGCTTACTTTTATGCTCTATTGTGTTACGGAAGACTTCTGGGAAAGAGTGACCCATAAGCGCCTTTGGGAAATCTTTTTTCTTGCCTTTAATAGCTCGATGAAAATCATCCTAAGCCAGTGACTTCCAGGTAGATTATGAAATGTTGCTGCGCCTATCTGAGTTGCCTCATGAAATGTAATATCCAGAAGGCACTTTATGATATTCTATTCTATAAACAATATTTCATGGAATTTAATTCACTTCGGTTGCAGAGGTTTCAATACATATTTGAGTTTTTTTCTAGATTTTGCCATAACTCACAATAATGAAATTTAATTGCCAGGGTTTTTAATCAGAAAGTTTATCCTCTGGAAAAAATGAAATATATTACAGATATCCTTCACTTAAGATACTTTTGACTATGCCACATATTGATCTTAAAGGAAGCCTAGAGGAGGTGACAACCAGCTCTAGTAATGTGAAGGATGGAGATGAGGGCATTTTCAGACTGAAGTTAAGTAATCTCAGAACTGGAATTTACAAGCCACCACTCTTAGCCAATGAAAAAACTCCCGCAATAAGAGGCACATTTGTAGAATCCCCCAACATAGAGTCTTGTGGAGGAGCACTTTTATAGCTAACACACTGCAGGTGCAGTCACCCAGGGAACTGGTACCACATTATCAGTTTTCAGCAGTGCCTAGGGAAGTCATTTTAAGTGGAAATATTCTAATTTTGTAATGGAAGCTAATGGCAAAGTAGAATTAACTTCACAGATTTTAAAATAGTAAATCTTATTAGAGAAAATGTATTGTTATGCTTTGAAGAATAATGGCAAGTATGATCATTTAAAAATACAGGCCAGGAGTGGTGGCTCACGCCTGTAATCCCAGCACTTTGAGAGGCCGAGGTGGGCGGATCACTTGAGGCCAGGAATTTGAGGCTAGGAGTGTCAACATGATGAAATCCTGTCTCTACTAAAAATATAAAAATTTGCTGGGCGTGTTGGTGCATGCCTGTAATCCCAGCTACTCAGGAGGCTGAGGCAGGAGAATTGCTTGGACTCAGGAGGCAGAGGTTGCAGTGAGCTGAGATCACACCACTGCACTCCAGCCTGGGTGACAGAGTGAGACTCTGTCTCACAAAAATAAAAAACAAAACATAAAAATAAAAATACGTAGATGATTTTTTAAACAAAGATTCTTCAGTATCTTAAAAATAATTTAATATTCTTACTTATATATTATTTTACCCTCCAACTTTCTGAAAATACTGAAATCTTTCAGGAAAGAAATTACCATATTCTGATATTTTAGTATCAGTTGGATCCAAACATAATTTCATGCTTTATTTCCTTACCTTTTTAAAAAACTGTCATTTTCTTTATCTCTCTCTACTTAAAAACAAAGATTAGTTTTTGGCCTTCATAAATGCTACAACAAAATTCAGGCAGATGCTGTTTCAGCAGTTCGTGCTGTTTGTTGGGGTGTCTTAGATCCCAGAGTATTAAATTTCAAGTGAAGAATCAGTCTTATCATAGAATCTTTAGGGCTTGAACAAACTGAAAAAAAAAAAAAAAAAAAAAAAAAGGTTGTATGACAACCAACCAAAAAATCATGATGTTTTGTAATTTCCAGTACCATTTCTAAGAGCTTTGCAATCATGCCATCCTTGTTCAAGTTCACCTATAGGAAGTAATGCAAAGCTTCCACACCTAATTTTGGGCTATTTTGTTGAAAAATACCTTGGTTTTTTTGTTTGTTTGTTTTAGATAAATTCACTTTTATTTCATTGTTGCAGTAAAAGTTATACCAAAAGACTTTGGAATGTGGGGTGGCTTAGTGTATGTAAGAGGAAGTATACTACAGTAATTATAAGCTTACTTTATCATGTTATTTTGTTTGTTTGTTTGTTTTTTAAATAAAGAGAGATGGGATCTCGCTCTGTTGCCCAGGTTGGAGTGCAGTAGCACAATCATGGCTCACTGCAGCCTCATCCACCCAGGCTCAAGTGATACTCCCACCTCAGCCCCCCAAGTAGCTGGGACTACATGTGTGAGCCACCATGTTGGGCCCTGTCTTGTTATTTTTGAATGGCACTTAGCACACATACCTCATGTCAATACTTGAATGCTCTCTAAAAATGATTATTTAAACAAGATTATAACCTCTCTCTTAAATCTCAGTCTCACTAAGGAAGAGACTGAACACTGGATATCCAGAGCTATTTGACCAAATCAAAACTATGTTTTCTTCATTCAGAACAATCACATTTGTTAATTTATAATTATTGATGATAATTAGCCCATGAATTGAAAAGCTATTTTTTACAAAATCAGAAAATACAACCAACTTTAACTATGTTAAAGCAGGAACCACATCTCTTGTGGCAGAGAGAAATTCAGTATTACGATTACAGTAAAAATAGTTAAAACATGGATTCAAATAGATTTAATGGAAATTTCTTTGCATGATAAAATGGAAATTTACTAGCATAAGGAAATCAATGGAAATTTATTAGCATAAGGAAATCCATCTGGGCCTTTCCTGAATTCCTGAAGAGTGTCACAGACTCTGAATGACTGTGGTGTGTGATCTTGGATTTGGTGGCAGCTCCTTCTCCTTCCTTTAGCTGTTGCTTTCCTGTTAGCACAGTATCATCTGTTACCGGAGTCTCACATCCTTCTCTAAGATTCGCATTCCAGTCTTTAAATCTGACTATCCGGCAGAGGAGCCTCACATTTACAGCACAGATTAAACACATATTTTTTTCTGATCATTGTTGCTTGAACCAAACCAGCAATGCCTTCTCAGTGTCACGGGAGAACTTTCTTATGCTTTTAAACATTTTCAGGGTGCTTTATCTAAGAAGATATTTTTTAAAAGTGTTTATTTTCTCTTTTAACAAACTCATTCCATGTTGCTATGTTCTTTAAAGCTGCTCCCTCTTCTAATACATTTTTAACATTTTTGTTGAAATGTACTCTCTATATCTTTGTTTTGCTTTTAGTTATTAGCTTAGTATATAAACTTAAAAATGATCAGACAATTGTATATCTTCAGTTAGCACAGAATTCTGACAAAGGCTAGCTTTTCCAGCTCAATTACATGCTGTGTGTCTCACTGGGGAGTGCTGGGGGGCATTCTCACATTGACATGGACCCAACGTGGTGTCCACTGGTAACTGTTCAATATAAGACCTGCTTACTGATTTCTAGTAATTTTGTTTTTGAATTTTTCTTTGTGGCTTACTGCACAATTAGGGTAATACAGCCTCAGGTCATTTTCACTTACATAGCAAGTTTGCATCTGAGATCACTTTGATCTCTATCTTCTGATTTCATCTTCATAAAAACCTAATGAGGTTTTACTTTATAGATAAATAAACCACCACCCAGAAATCTGAGGGACTTGTCCAAAGTCACATGCTTGGAGAGGCCAGGTTTTGAGCCCGAATTTCCAATTCTCTCTTCCCACTGTCATGTTCAGGTCATCACTCCATGAAACCTCCAAAAACACTGCTGTTTCTGTAGTACCCAAATATGCCTTTCTCAGAATTTCAGTAAATATCAAAAATCTGTATATGTTTTTGATATTTACTGAAATCCTGAGAAAGGCATAGCTGAGACAAGTCGTGATATGCCAGATGAATAGAAAGGGGGTTGGTTTAACTTGCACTATTCATACAACTTCTAGCGAGGCATACTGTGTATGTATACACATGATAGGATATTTTAAGAACATCTGCAAAACAAGTGTTCAATGACATGTATAACTGTTCTTTTTAACTTTTGAAGGCCTGCTTCAGTTATTTTTATGTGACTGCTTGTTCTTTGGCCTTGGATGTTTGCACTGTTAATTTAAAAATAATACAAGGACTTAGATAAAAGACAATGGGCTGTGTTAGATTAGGCCTATGTCATTTTACCTGCAATTATGAAGGCCTTTCAGCATTTTTACCTATTCCTAGTTACAAAAACTTATTAACACAGAAAAAAAGCCATTACAAAATCTTTAATTTCAAAAGACTTTGACCTAACTTTATGAAATATGTATTTAGAATTCGTCATTTTATAATTTGTTGTCTCTTGGTTCTTGTTTTTCTTTTTTGTGTGTGTGATCTTCATCTACTTGATAGTCTGATTATTTTCATTAAAAAATTTCCTGCTAAGGTGTCATTTTTAATAAAAATTTATTTATTTTTTTCGAGCCCATTTTTGAAGCTGTAGTTTGTATGTTGAACACTTCTAAAACTTTTTACTTATGAGCAAGTATGAATTGACTTTACATTGTGTGTAGATCACTGTGATTGGCACTATGTAGATGAGAGAAAGGAAGGGTGATTATTTGCTTGCTTTTGGAACTTTACTGGGCTTTACAAAATCTTTAGCATCACCTCTCATCAAATTCATAAATTATATGACTATTTTTAGATGCTGTATTCTGATTCATTCTTAGTGTTTAAATTATCTCAGGTAGCAAATGTAGGTACTTCCGATTTTGAAGTTTTCTGCAAATTTAAATATCTCTAATTCCCAAAGAATATTTTCTATTTTAAATTCACTTTCACACTTCTCTAAGGTCTTTTCAAGCGGATCAGCATTCCTATCACCAACCTTAAGATAAGGAAATGGAGGAATAATGTTTTGTTTTGTTTTTCTAGGATGTGGATCTGTTACTGACAGTGCCAGACTAGCAATCAGAAATCTTTCTTTTTCCCTGATGATTAATCATACTTCCATTGTTTGAAAAGTCAGGGCTAGCTCTTGCCCCTAAGCAGAAAAGGCAAAAGAGAGGATAAGTAGGAAAAAAGAAATGGGTATATTTTCGTTTAAATTTAAATATATTTCTCTCTTCCTTAGGAGAGAGTTATGTATGTGGCTCAATAGAGCCCTTCAAGAAACTGGAGTACACCAAGAACGTGAACCCTAACTGGTCGGTGAATGTCAAGACCACCTCGGCTTCTCGGGCGGTGTCTTCACTGGCCACTGCCAAAGGGAGCCCTTCAGAGGTGCGAGAGAATAAGGATTTCATTCGGCCCAAGCTGGTCACCATCATCAGAAGTGGTGTGAAGCCGCGGAAAGCTGTCAGGATTCTGCTGAACAAGAAAACGGCTCATTCCTTTGAGCAGGTCCTCACTGATATCACTGATGCCATCAAGCTGGACTCGGGAGTGGTGAAACGCCTGTACACATTGGATGGGAAACAGGTAAGAGACATACTGTGATGTGACTTCGCCTTTGAGGCAAGAACCGGGGAGTTGGAGGGTGTACGTGGTTAAAGCATACATTTTGCTCAAGTTGTTAAAAGACCTGGGTGACTTAATCAACAAATATGTACTTGCTGGCCCTAGAACAGTCAGAAGTTTGAGTTGAGCAGGATTATTCTTAGGAATAAAGTAAGAAAAAAAATGCATATCTTTGAAGATTAAATAATTACTCAGGGATTTCTACTTTTTAATTTATTGTTTGCTTAACATAATGGTTCTTTTCTGTCATCTGTTTTCAGTTTTCTCATAGGTCTTATAGCCTTAAGGATGACTGAGGTATGGAAGTAAACTGTGACCAGTAGGGACAATTCTAACTTATTTCTTTGACCTAAATATTTTATGATTTTAAGTCTTTGTAGTGTTCGTTCACTGGTGAGATTTACTTACATTTTATAGATTTTAAAATATGTATCTAAGAAATGACATATTTCCATCTAGATAGCTTTAAAGTCATATTTCTAGAATAGTATTTATCTTGTATTTTTCAGTGTTAAAATAAAAGGGAGGTTTTTTAGCTACAGAATGAACATCAGTTGACTTGGATGGGTGATCATTTTAATGTGAATTGGTCAGATGAATTCAAAGGAAGCATCACCTTTTGTTGTCTTGGGTGGATTATTTTTGTAAAGGTTTGGCAGAACCTGGATGGTGAGTTGAATTAAAAAACATTGATTATATGTACGGCATGATTTGCTAGTCATTCAGAGTTTATCAGATTACATTTTTGAGCACACTATCTTTGATGGAAGTTTGGTTTTTAATGTGGTGCTATCAAAATGCTTTAAAAAACTTTTTTGAGGGATAATTTGAATGATTTGTATGTATAGAAAATACTAAAATTAAAATGATTCATGAATTAAAAAACTGATCTTATTAAATAGAAGACTCCTCCAAGTTCTTAAAGGGTAGCACGTTCAAACTTTCTGAATTAGAAATAGATGCTAATCCTAGAAAGAGTATTAGTCATGAAAGAATACTTCCCTTAGGGATCCATTCAGATGCTCTAAATTATAAAATTCATTAGGAAAGAAGGAATATGTACCAGTTATTCATTTGTATTTACCATCTTTTGCTTGTCTGATAACCCTTGCCCTAAGTATCATGAGGATAAGGATTCTAATAGATGAGATTCTCTAATGAATGAGATCTAGTCTTCTAGATTTAAGAGTCTGTAGCCTAAATGTTATCAATCTATCAATGACCAGAAAGTTCATGCTGGCTTGTGAGTTATAGTAGCAATAAGATGGCAAACTTCACCTTTACACATTTAAACCCTTCACTGGCTCCATTTCTAATGAGTTATTCAAACATCTTGTAGTTCTGAATTTTCACATATTGAATTTTCTCAAGATGGGAGTTCATCTATTTTCATAAATATATACCTATTCAAGTAAATATTTTTATAAAGTGTCTCATTAGAGCAAGGAATACATATGGATAAATGTTTCCTCTCCCTGCCTCACTTCAGAATTTTGGTAGCTCCAAAATGCTACTCTGAATCTCAAAATCAGCTTTAATGACTTTAGCTAAAATTTGCCATCAGCTGATTGTTTAATTTTGTTTATTTCAGGAATAAATCCCTAGAATAGATATGATGTTCTCAATTGTTTTCTTCCTTACTGAATTTGTCTAGTATCAGTATTTGATAATGGCTAGTTTGCTGTGGTTTACATGTAAATAACCCGAAGTCATGGGAAGGAATCCCAGGTTTAATGTCAAAAGACCAGGATTCAAGTCTTGGCTCAGTCATAGATTCCTTATGTTTTTAGCAAAACACTTAACTGAGCCTCATTATCCTCATCAGTGAAACGCAGATAAAATGATTACCTGTATTTTATAGAGTGCTTGTGTGTCAACTCTGATGATACATGCGATAGCAATTTTGATATATAATGATGATAGCTTTACTGAGCATTGTTCTAAGTGCTTTGCATATATTAGCATGTTTAATCCTCATAACAACTTGCTTATTATCCCCATTTAACAGATTAGAACACTAAGGCACAGAACTTGTTAAAAACATGCCCAAGACCATACAGCTATGATTTAAACTGGTCTTGCTCCAGAGCTTGTGCTGGTAACCACTGTACCACTTTAGATTATGTTAAAACATCAAACTGACGCAAATGTATTGAGAAAGAATTGTTAAGAGAGTAATATGTCCAAAGAATATCATCTGAAATATTTCTGTGCTGTCCTTTTTTTCCTGCAGTCATTCTGCTGACTGTTGTACTCAACTGTTGTTTTGTCAAGCGTTCAGTTTGCTGCTATGGCATTTCCCCTAGTGTTGGCATGTTCTCTTCATAGCAGGATCAGTGGAAAGCTGCAGAGGAATTGGATGATTAAGTGGAAAGAACATAAAGACTTATTCCTTGGGTTCCCAGTGGGAACAAAGATGCTTCCTCACGGACCCCAGGAGTCTTTGGAATCATTTTGGCTCAAAAGAGAAATCTGTCTCATAAGCAGTTTGTTAGAATAGAATTTTTGACAACACTGGCAGAGACTGAGGCTTGGTAATCCTTTGAGAATAAATCACTTTCCTCCATGCTGTCCTGTGGAATAATGCTTGGCCACAGTGGGGTGGCACCTGCACTGCTACCATCTTGACCTGCCTGTGGTGACATCAGGGTCCTTATGCTGCCAACAAGATGTCACCCTAAAATTACTTGTCCCACCTTTTTTAAAAATGGTTTAACTGAACCCTCACATCAGCTTCATGAATAATGTGGGAATTCCAATGCCCAGTAAAGAATTTCATGTTTTTGGATTGAGGAAGTAGAATTGTTTTTAAAAAAATGAATTGCTTGAGTGCTTTGAGTAAATGAGTAGAGAGGAAGAAGATTTTGTAGATTGCCTTAGGGCAGCCTGCAGGTGTATCCATGGCATGAAAACTGTTGACGCTGGGATTTTGGACAATGGAACCATGAAAGCCGGAGCCTGCTGTTTAATCTGTTACCCAGAGGAGACGGACACTGGAGGGCATAGACCACATGCCTTTCTCACTTGTTTCTACCACCATTCCTTGCTCCGTTGCGTCCCAGGTTTGTGTTAGCCCTAAGCGAGGAGTTCATTGAACAGTACTTTTCTTGATGTTTTTAGACTGAGATAAGGAAATGAATGTTTTGGAAATGCTGCACAATCTAGAAAAGATTCTGCAGGAAGCTACAATTGGCCAAGATGATCGTTGTGGTTCATAAGCAGCCTATGTGTGAGCAAACCCTTTCTAATAATTTCAACTCCATTCTTTATTCTGGGGCGCTGAAGCTTCAGTAAATGGTTGCCCCGACCTTCCTCGTCTTCCTTGCAGCTTTCAGGGTGACTGCTCACCAGGTCATCAGTCCTTTTGCTGGCATGGCTGGGAGTTCAAGGAAGCACTTACCATGCCTTAATTTCAGTGATGCTTTTTTTTTTTTTTATCTGGGCCTTGGTTAGAGACCTCCAAAGAAGAAAAAGGGACATTTTCTAGCTGACAGTTAAAATCATGTCCCCCAAACCCATGTCCAAAGGGAGGATTTGCGGGATCTGAGAGTCTGAGAGTCTCTTCCTCTTGCCCAAGCCTAAGCTCTAGATGTTGGAACTTTGCTGTGGGTTATTCACTTAACCTGCCAAGCAGTTCCTCCCAGAGGACATTTGGAGTATAATTGTTTTTTAAGTGCTTAAAATAAGCCTAAAAGTTACCAGATTTGCTACAAAGATACCCTTGCATATCTCCTGACTCCTTTTATGGAAAAGCAAATCTGGCTTTCTTGAGCTGCTTAATCTGTGGTTCTTGAAGCCTTCCTTAGAAACATAGAACAGCTCGTGCCTAAGTAGGTGATTTATACTATAAAGAACACAGATAGGGCACTTCCCAATGATCCCCTTCCCACTGAAATATAGCAGTGACAAACTAGATAGCTCTTTAAGTGGAAAACAAATGCACATCCCTATCTTATCTACTTTTCAACATCAAAGATCTGTGCAACATTACAGCATGGTTTAGTGAAGAGAAAACAACCCAGGGATGTTATATTTTTATCTTATAGACATTTCACATAGGCCATGGACTTTATAAAATCTACCACTGCCAGCATGCTAGAGTGAGCAAACCATTTATTGTTTTCCCAATATGGAAAACTAGGAATTCCTCAGCTGAAGTAAGGGTAGTCATAAACTGATTTGGATGGTAAACCATGAGAAAGCATCATAACTGCTATTTTGAGGACATCCCAGTAGCTGTTGATAAATTAATCCATTATTACCTCTTCTCTGTATCTTTTGATCATGAATCCTTATTGCCTATTGTAAACGTAAAGCTCAAAAGATGCTTGTAAATGAGTCAGTAATTGCCGCCATTTATTTTAGGTGTTTAATATAGGAGTTTATTTGATTACAGGAAATGGTAATGATGATTAATAGGAATCTATGAATCAGACATCACAAAATGGTCTTTATTTTCTTTCTTTTGGCTTTTAATATCTAATTCTAATCTGAAGTAAAAATAATTTGGTCCACTCTTGAGTTTACAGCGCTTAATGTATGTCTTCCTCTTACAAGTGAAAACACTGGTACAAATTATTATTACATCTGACCTTGGCTATAGGAGTTGATAAGCATAGAAAATGTGGAAACTAGAGGTTTCCAGATAAAATGTAAAACATTTAGAATCTGATAGGATTTATTTGGAATGGAAAAGGAGGTTTTCTGTAGCTGTTAACAGCAGTGGTATTTTTCCTTTTTTATTAGTAGAACTTTTCTGTGACAGTCCTAATTAACTTCTGCAAGCATATTAAAACCCTTCATTCTTGGTATAAAGATTGTGTACTATTGATTTGCTACACTACCTATGTAGTAAAGGGAATGTAATACTTTTTAGTTTTGTTTGCAATTGGAGTAAAAAAACAGTTGACACAAGTAATTTAGCTTATACTTTAAAATGTCAAATTAAACTTTTCTACAGA